AGCCTTCCTTTGATAAATTACTCAAAGTAATCCCTGCAACAGCTAAGTCTGACTGGTTGACGTTGTGTTAGAAGTCTTCATAGCGGTATCTGTCTATAAAATATTCACTTGAGGACTACAAAGGGTGGATCATTTTTAATGACAAGATTCAGAACTGGAGGATGAAGGGAAGAGATTAATATCCGTGAATTCAAATAATTTAATTTCAAATACTGAACTTAGAGCATTATATCCCAGTAGTTTAAACAGTGATGCAGATAAAATAGAATCATCCCCTATGAATAAAAAGTGGCGCAAAGAATAGAGCTTCCGGGACTGTTGGAAATGAACATTGATAGAAACTTTTTTTTATATATATTCTGTACCTTTCTATCTTCCAAGGGAATCGATATTCTAGCAGGTCAAATACATATTCTTTTGTTTGTACATGGAGAAACCCATTTACACGAGGGGTTTTAATTTCAGGGGGTAATGCGATCCTATGCAATCAAAGTGATCAATTTCTGTCCATTTTGTTTAGATTTCTTAGTTAAATGCGTGTGTTATAGCTACCCCGAGGAGAAGCAACTTGAAAGTGGAGCTTTTTGAGTCATCTTATAAATACATCCCTGAGGCTGCAGTTCTTGCAGCTTTAAGGCAGTTTTCATTAAAGCAGCCAGCTGCCTCTTTGTGTAGATTGGATTTTTTAAAGCAATCACTTGTGAAGCCTCGGCCTCAGCTCTGCTCCTCTGCAGGCCCTTCGAGTTGAAGTTCCATTCATGTCTTGGGTCTCTCCACTAAATCAGGCTCCTCGGAGCAAGCCTTGCAAAGAGCTCCCGAAAACGCAGGGCTGAATAGTTCAGACAGAAAGGTTAAAAAGGAAAGAGAGATCAAAACAGTCCCATCTCACAATGGGTAAGTTAAATGCATCCCAGCGATGTGCCCACGTCTCCCAAGCTGGCCTTTCAAGGGAGCTCCATGGCATACAGCTGTTTTTACTGCACCGGAGCATACTCGTGCTAAATTCCCTGGTGCCTTTTGCCCTTCTTGATGCTTCCCCCCAGCAGTGCACGCAAACGGGAGCTGCTGGAAAAAGGGATTTCTTTCCCTCTTAGTTGAGTGAGTTCGTTTCACGCCAGTGAGTGCCGAGTTTCAAACAGGCGTTTCACCTCTAAACAGAAGGACCCTTCTTCATTTTAAAAGCAATCTTTAAACCCTGAGCACTAGGGAGGTTTATGAGGAGTCGTTGGGAATAAGAGCTCCGTATTCGTACTTGGGAGTGTGTAGTTGCGGCTTTCTCTCTGCAAGGCTCGGGTTTGCTAAGGGTTTACAGCTCAGGGCTTCTTTGGTTTTTTTGGGGGGGTGATTGTTGGGGTTTTTTGTGTGCAAGTAACAAGCTGCTTCAGGCTTTTTAACAAGAAAGGGCTGGAGTCCACTCACTGGATCACCAGGAAATGCACTAGTTTGTCTTGGCTGTAAGCGTCCCAGCAGGGTGAGTAGCAGGCACCCGGCCCCTTCCCTGCTGCAGCCACCTTATGTGTATGCAGCACCTCGCCTCCCAGGGAGGAGAAAGCTCCATTTAAGAGGCGCGCTATGTATTTGCTAGAGAATATTCTCGGAGAGCTGTACTGGAATGAAGGAGATATCAAGGAGGCCTGTCAGTTCAAAGCTTTCGGGGTTGTTTGAAAATCTTCCTCACGTCAAAGTAAGCAGCCCTAGTATTTGAACAGCTGCTTTGAACAGTGAAAAGGGCTGAGCTGAATCAAAACACTGCAGTGTCTGCCCAAGACACCGCATCACCTTCAACCTGCTTTTATACGGGCAGAGAAAGGGAAGAAAGGCTCCTGGGACCTCTAATCCGGCAGGGTCAGCTCCGGAAGAAAGGGGACACATGACTGTCTCTTTCACATCCCGAGCGCCCTGGACCTAAATCAGCCCCAATTTGGGGGGCTTAAACTGAAACGAGGACCGGTTACAGGACCCAGAGAGGAGCAGACAGACATCAAGAGCTCTCCCGTCTCAGGAGCATTCCGGCAGCGGGCTTCTCCGCGGGGGGAGCCGGGAGTGAAGGATGCTTAAGAAACAGTATTAATGACAAGGGTAACAATAATGATGATGGGGAGGAGGAGGAGGAGCCTGCAGCGCCTCTGAATTCACCATGGCCACTCCTGGCTCTCTTCAGCTGTGAATGTATAGACGTTAGTTTAATTGGGGGAGGGGATGCAGGAGGGGGAAAGGGGGCTTGGATTTTTTTTCTCTCTTTTTTTTTTTAGCTTTACACCGTGTTCCTACTTTTGTAATCGTGTGATTAACAGTAGCCTTTGATATCTACCAGTGATTTATTAGGGGTATTAAATAGGCAGAACAATGATTGTATACCCACCCTCTTCAGCTCTGTGTGCGCGTGTGTGTAGCCTGAAGCTCCATCAGGCTGATTTCAGACTTCCTCGCAAGCAGCAAATCCCACCGCCTGTGCCCGACCTCTGCTTAGCGGCTTGTGTGTTTGCTCACCTGGAGGTAGGTTTCACAGCCAGGAGATATCACTCGGGCTACTCCCTGCCGGGGAGATTTCTCCTTGCCCTGCCGCTCTCCACGCTGAACACGTGTAAGCACCCCGAGACACACACGCACACACGTACACACTTCAGATCTAGCCCGCCAGGGACGCCGCCCAGTGCCCCGAAGCACTTTCATGCGAGGCGCCCGAGGCCAGAGCCGGTCCCCAAGCGTGGGCGGGCGGGCGGCGGAGCGGGGGGCCCACGGCTGCCTCCAGGGAAGTTTGCGGCCGCCTTGGCTGGGGCTGTCCTGTCCGTGCGGCTCCGCGGGGCAAATGACAGGAGGGTTTCAGCGGCAGGAGGGAGATGCCCCCCCCCGCCCCGATGGGAAGCGCGATTTCTACCCGAGGAACAAAAGGCAGAGCCCGGGTTAGAGGCACCCGCTGCCTCCTCCCGGCCGCCTGCAGCCCGGGCCCCGGCGGGGCAGGGACGTTTGCCAGCAGCTTCCTCACTTCGGCGGCTGCTCCCGCTCCCTCCTGTCCCGCTGCCCCTCTCCCGGCTCTGATCCCGCGAAGCCGGGCGGGCAAGCGCTGCTGCCCGGCGCCGTCTCCCAGGGCTGGATCCAGTGTGTGGCTGGGGTAGGCGGGTGTTTGTGTAGAGGGGAAACGTGCGTGTGTGTGTGTGTGTGTGTGTGTGTGTGTGAGCGTGGCGGGGGGGGCGGGTGTTTGTGTAGAGGTGTGTGGGGAGGCGGGGTGTTTGTGTAGCGG